GGGCGAGGGGAGAGTGAGAAACATCAATGTGAGAGAGACACATCGATTGGTTGCCTCCTGCCTGCACCCTGATCAGTGCTGGGGATCAAACCTGCCACCCAGGCACTAGCCCTTGACCAGGAATCGAACCCGTGACCCTTTGGCCCGAGGGCTGATGCTCCAGTCACTGAGCCACACTGGCCAGGACAGGAACCTGGTTATTGATATGTAGCCCAGAGAACTGTGGAGCAGATGGTCGCTGGCTGCTCGTGGAGAAGCCCGTAACTGGGTGACCCAGCAACTTCCCACAAACCTGATATGGAAGCAGTGGCAGACCCTGTGTTTGGGGCTGGTGACGCATCCGTGTGGAGACAGCCCCTTTGAAACACAAACAGGTCTTGATTTTCAGAGCCGGCACTTGCAAGCTGATGGCCGGTTGGAGCAGGAGGCTGTGGGCCATCAGGGTCAGGTGGTGCTTCCCCAGAGCCCCGCCCGCCTCCGTGACCCAGGCTGACTGATTAACTCCCTGCTAGTTTTGTTTGTTTGTTCTTCAGGGGAAGGGGTTTCCATTTCTCAGGGGGCCCTCCGGCTAAGGCACAGGGTTTGGGAAAGGTGGCCACATTTGCTAAACCCAAACCCTGGGAGGCTCCTGGCTCCAGGAGAGGGATCGATATCCCCAGGGCCTGGGAGGAGGCCTTTGTAGTGTGGACGCCTGTTTGTGTTTCAGGCTCTAAGGGAAGGTTTGCTCCTAATTAAAGGCGTAAATGCCTTAATTCCTGGCCTGAGGGCTTCCCATGGCGCATTAGCGTATTAGGAAGGAAATGGATTGTAATCCCTTTAATATAAACTTGGAGGAACTCAAGGGCTTCTGGTTTGGGAGAAGAATTTCCTCCTGTGATTTAACAATATTAACACGCTGAATTTGCATAGACAGAAAGGGGGGCCCAGCTTCCCCCTAGAGAAAGCCAGCAGGGTCTCGGAGGAATGCAGGTCGCAGTAATTCAGTCCCCACAGGACACCAGACCATGCTTTTCTCCTCGGGTTCTCCCCCCTAGCCCTGTGGATTTGTACTGGACCAACTATTTTATCAATTAAAAAAAGATTTAGGGGTGACTGTCCTCAGTGGAGGAAGGAGGGGAGGACCCTGTAGAGAGCCTGTGGTGTGCCCTGGGCTGCACTTGACCGACCTGAGTCCTGTCCAGTCTTTTCCGTGTGCTTTTTAGCGTTCACGTCACTCAAACCATTTTACAGGTACACGCGTTCCGTTCCTACTACGCAGTTATCTTACCTGTACAACTGGAACCCAACTCTTGTGTCACTTACCCCAAAAAAGTAAAACAAAATAAAAGGCAGGATTTGCTTTCTGGTTTATTTCTCACCCTTTATAAACGGTAGATCTGCCCTCGCCTGCTACTCAGGGAGACAGCAAGGACATGAGCCGCTTCCCGCTCTCACAATTCGGAAAAGAGCGTGGAGCACACTCTCAAGCTGAAAGTGGCCGGTGCGGCGTGGCGCTTCGCAGTGGGCGCGCGGGCTTACACAGGTTTACAGCCACGTTGCTGTCTGCAGGGAGGAAGCAGTTCCGTGCTCAGGGAGAAAACAGGCGCCGAGGCCCGAGGAGAGGGCCTGGCCGGGCTGTCCCGCTCCTGCAGGACGCGGCGTGGACACGGCCACGTTCCTTCTGAGGCCGAAAGTCAGCAAAGATCCAGCCGCAGCGAGGGCTCCGAACACGTGTACTTGAGAGGCCCTAGTGCATGGGCCCTGTGATCCTCTACTCCTCGGCCTGTCCACTCAGGCTGCCGTGACTGCACGTTAGCGCAGCCCGTGTGGGGGCCCCTGCCTGAGTGCGGGGAGACCTTGGTCAGCGTCCAGTGCTGCAGCGCCAGCCGTTCCGGGACGTGGCACAGGTCCGGAGTGTCCTTCCCGGACCAGCTCACCTCGCCCACTGGAAGCCACACAGGCTGCACAACGCAAAGCCAAGTCTTACTCCCCGCCGTGGCTCCTCCCCCAGCGCGGCCCCCTGCACCCGGGACTCATTCCAGATATCTCCGATACCTCCCACGTTCTCCAAATCCTCCGCCACCCCTCCAGCCTGCCGCAGCCACCGTGGGCATCCGGTGGCCTGCCCACTCACACCCCTGCGCCCTCTCGCCCCCTCCACGCACAGTGGGCCTTTCCCTATGCAAGTCCCACTGCGGCCGCCTCTGCCTCACCTCCCGGGCTTCCCGGGACTCTCAGCACAGTCAACCCGCTAGAAAAAGCCCGCTCCCTCCGGCCTCACTGGAGGCCCCTCCCGCCTCACTGTGCTGGGGCAGGGAGCCCCTCTCTCCCACGCCACAGTCTCCCTTCCGCCGCGTCACACAGCCCCGAGAATTCTCCTTCCCGTTTAGAACTGAGTCAAAACGTCACTATTGAGGCAAGTCCTCCCAGATCAGCCCCCAAGGCTGGGTCAGGCCCCCACATCCCGTATATGTCTTTCATGGCACCTGTCACAATTGTAATTAAAGACTCACTTGTGTTATAATTTATGAAATACCCTTGTCCCCAGTTATACTGTAACTTCATTAAGACAGAACTCTTGCTCTGAAGTTTGCTCTCGCCAGAAGGGGAGCTGCAGGCAAGCCAAGAGGCCCACCGATTTCCGTCACTGTTGAACCCACAAGGTTCGGAACCCATAAGGTTCGGAACCGGGCCCCACACAAAGCAAGGGCCCAGTGCATATTGATTGGAGCGATGAAAGGAATCTGTGCTACCTCTGGTGCGCGACCACGGGGAGCTTCACGGAGAAGGTGGCCCTTAAACAGAGTGGCCTTTAAAACATCGTAAAGAGCTTAACATTTACCATTTGGGGAGAATTTTTATGAGTTTATTTGAACCCAAACTGGCAATTGCCGGGAAGCAAGTTTTCAAATGCTTCCTTCATTTTACCCTTTTTTCTTTCTTTCTTTCTTTATTGATTTTAGAGAGAGAGGGGAAGGCAGAGGGAGAGAGAGAGACAGAAACATGGATGAGAGAGACACATCAATTGGCTGCCTCCTGAACACCTTCAATGGGGATCAGGCCTGAAACCCAGGCACGTGCCCTGACTGGGAATCGAACTGGCCACCTCCTGGTCCCTGGTCGACACTCATCCACTGAGCCACACCGGCTGGACGTAACCTTTTTTGTGTGTGTGTGTTTTTAAATCCTCACCTGAGCGTGTATTTTCATTAATTTTGGAGAGAGGGAGAGAGAGACACATCAGCAGGTTGCCCCCCACACGACCCCGACTCGGGATCGAACCTCACCTGGGCTGGGCCCTGCTGTCCTTTACGGCTGGCATATTCACTGAGCATTGTGTTCCTCATGGCTTGTCTATGTAGCCACATGAGTCAGTACTTCAATGCTTGTTTAAGGCTGAATGATTTTGCGTTGGCCGTGCGCACCACGTTGTGTCCATCCGCCATCTGCGCATGGACACGGCTGCTTCCGCCGTTGGGCCGCTGGGAGTGTGCACACGGGCGTGCGCGCACCTCCTCAGGCCCCTGCTCTGTCTTCAGGCCGTGTGCCCCGAGGTGGCATAGCTGGGAGAGCCGTAACCCTACGTGTAACTTTAGAAGGAGCCGCCAAATGGCTTCCCACAGCTGTTGCGTTGCTCACATTCCCACCGGGATGCTGGCTCCATTTCAAGGCTGCCAATTACTGGGTGCCTCGCGGCACTCCTGTGGGTGTGAAGGAGGTGCAGTCTGACCGTGGAAGAGGGGTGGCCAGCCTTTCAGAGGCCTGCAGGGGCGATGCTATACAGCAGATGTCGTCATTTATACAGGGTTCCTGTGCCTCCCTTTCCTGGAACACACTGATTCTGCACATGGTGGAAAGCCCCTCCTCCTGGGTCCCTTCTGATGCCGCCAGGGTCCATGTTGGCTCAGGGGTGCGAGGACACCAATGACTTGCTGTGAGAGAGGGTGAGCCAGGGACAGGGGAGCTGACATGCAGGAGGTTGGCCAGTTGCCTAATCACAATGACCAGGGGCTGTGACCCAAACAGCCTGCATCATGTAGGTCAGGGTTCACCTCAAAGGCAGGGGTGGCAGGGAACAGGCAGGCCTCCCCATGCAGCAGGGGACATGCAGTTGGAACCACAGGAGCAGCACCTTCCCCTTGGCAGCAGGACCCGTAGGTGCTCCTTGCACTGAGACGGGTTCCCAGCCCCATGAGAGGAGCTGTCTACACACAAAAAGAAGGGACGTGAGCCAGCTGAGGTCCGCAACCACAGCCCGCTGGGTGGAGGGGGCTCAGGGCAGTGTCCCATGGGAACAAAGTGCAAGGCCAATCAAGAACCGAGGGGCCCATGAACACAAGCTAGGGTGAGCTCAGAGAGCTCCCCGGTGCCCAGGGGCTAAGGCCTCCTCGTAGGACTTCAGGGCTGGGGACAGAAGCAGGTTGGACAGACACATGCTATTGGTCAGCTGGAATACAGAGCCTCACACTGTCTCCCACTGGCCACCCCCAATTCCTGCTAGAAAACAGGGTTTGTGCTTCTGCATTGGGGTGCCTCAAGCCCTGGGCTTGCTTCCGCTGGGTGCTCAGAGCCTGGCCTCAGAGGCCTTGTGTGCTGACTCAGCTCTTCCTGCCTCTGGGAGCCCTATGTGTGCCGTCTGCAAAACTCTGCCTCAGTGACGGTGCTTCACAGCTCAAACAGGCATGGCAGGAGCACGTGCCCACAGACACAGGCAAATGCTGCAAACCTGGGCTATCTGCTCGCCAGGCGCCGGTGAACAGTCCCAGCAGGCACTTGTCCTGCCTGAGGGGCGACTGTGCTGTCTCCATGGCTCTGATTCCCCTGCCTCCTGCTCAGGCCCCTGTCCGGGGCCCTGTCCACCAGACTGCCACCACCAACCCCGGGGACGAATAATGTACAGGTGGGGCGAGGCGGGCAGGGCCAGTCGTGCTTGCTTGGCACAACCTTGCGGGCAGCGGCCACTTTCTCTGCCTGTGGAAGCCGCAGGGCTAACCACCTGTTCTGTGCCCAGGTTGTCTGCTATGGCGGGTGTGGTGTACCCCAGACAGGTGAGTGCCCTGGCTTTCTGTCCCCTGTGACTGCCTCCTCTTGGGTTCTTTGGGCTCCCTTTAGTCATGACTCTGAATGTTTTTGTTGTTGTAAATGGGCAAAGGAAAGCTAAGATTTACCATTTTCTGGAGGTTTTACCATTTCATGTATTTATTCAGTGTGCATTTCTTAGGCACCCTGGTGTGCTGGGCTTGGAGGCAGCGGGAGGCCTCGGGTTAGGTCCTGATCCAGGGTACTCGTGAAATCAGCCACAGTGCACCATGACAGGGCCACAGTGAGGGGTGTGAAATGTGCTATGGACGCAGAGGAGAGGAAGTGGTGGGTCCAGGGGACCGAGGGCACGGAGGGGAGCCAGAGGGTGAGGCGGGGAAGGCCCGCGGAAGCCAGCTCACCAAGGGCTCCGAATGCCAGGCCACTAACGCTTGGAAGAGGAAGAACAAGATGAGATCTCTTACTTTGTATTCGCCCTTGCCCTGCAGGTCCCTGTGGATTTAGACATATACCAAACCACCTACATGGTCAACTACCACCCCTACGGGAAGCACAAGTACTCCAGAGTCACGCCACAAGAGGTAAAACGTCCCTCAGTATTGTCTTCTATTTCGCTGCTCACTGAAGTCACTGTTATTTCATTTCTGTTGTGCGTGTGTACGCTGGAGCACTTACTGAGAAGGATATCTGAGCCTGAGGATGCAAGAGGTCTTTTCTGCATGTGTGTGTGTGTGTTTGGAAATGTACACTCATGCATCCACAGGAGTGTGAGTACCATACCCTGATGGGGCTAATAGCGCTGCTAAACACCCATGAACATGACCAGGCTGCTCAAACAGCCAGGGGACCTCGGAGCCCCCGGGCGCCCCCAGCTCACACCGCCCCACCTCCAGAACAGCCACCATGCAGAGTTTGGGGCTAGCTGTGTATATGTGTTTTTAAGAAGAGGCCATTCTGCCCTGTATGTACGTACACTTCTAGACAAGTGGTTTAGGCTCACCTTTTAGGAACTTTCCCATTATTTGTAGTCTTCCGTGACTTTCATTTCTTGCTGAACATGACGCATGTGCTTCACTGCCCGCTGTGCAGATACACTGCACACACTGCACACACATGCCACCACAGCGCTACGCTCCTCCTGTGGCAGACGCCAGGGTCCTACTCTGTTTGTTACCCTCCTGCCCCCAGTACTGCACTGAAGGTGAGGCCCGGCCTCACGTGGGACAGCCACCCCTCCGGGGAGGGGACTTGGTTGCCACAGGAGACACCAGGTTTCCAAGTGCTTCCCTCAGTCCACCTCCCTGGCACAGTCACACCTGTGGCTTTGTCACCCTGCACTGCTTGGTATTACCCGACGTCTACAATTTTTACCAGTTTGGTTAATTTGAAATAATACTTCCCAAGTATCTTTTCACTTGTTCATGAATACTTACTATTCTGTGAAATCTCTGTCTGTGTCTTGGGACCATTGCTTGTTTTTTTCTTACTAATTTGTGGGAGTCCTTTAAATTCTGCACATCTTTCATTTGTCAGTTCTATAAAAGAAACCCTTTTCTATCCTGAGGTCGTTCCACTAATAACAATAATAAGATCCACAGAAACAAAGTGGGACAATTTCTGAGATACATTATTTGGTGGAATCAAAGTGCAGAATTCAATTACAATATGACTTGTTTATGTACAAACCAGAGGTGTGGATATACACACACATGTTTATATGTACAGATAATATTTCTCAAAAGATGCAGTGTTTGCCTCTGGAGACTGGATGGTGGGGAAGACTTTTCACTGTTAACCCTTCCGTAGTATTTCCGCATCCCCTCTGTTACATAGATTCCCACTCACTCACGAATGTAAATCGTCCGCGCCAGCGCGTTGACTCGGGGACCTCCCCGAAGCCAGGCCGTCCTCCCCTCTCAGCTCCCCCCTCACGTGTGATTTGTTCCCACAGCAAGTGAAGCTGGACACCCAACTCAGGGAAAAAGAATTTTATACGCTCATCCCCAGCCCCAACCCCAAGTTAAAGGACGGATACCCGGCCTTCAAAAGACCCTACATGAATGCCAGAGACCTGGGACAGCCCGGCTTCTTCCCGTCGCTGGACCACGGGGGCACGGAGAAGGAAGAGCTCGGGTTCACCTGCGGCCCTGCGGGGCGCCCCGTGCCCCGCGCGCTGCCCCCCGCCAGCGCCGCCTTCCCGTGCCTGCGGGAGCCCGCGCAGCAGCCGGCGGCGGAGGAGGGCACCGGCTACCTCCTGCTGCCCGGCTGCCTGTGCCCCGGGCACCGCGCGCTGCCCCCCGCCAGCGCCGCCTTCCCGTGCCTGCGGGAGCCCGCGCAGCAGCCGGCGGCGGAGGAGGCCACCGGCTACCTCCTGCTGCCCGGCTGCCTGTGCCCCGGGCACCGCGCGGCCAAGGTCCCGGTGCTGAGCCGCTGGGGCCCCCTCCTGCCCTTTTACCAGTAGGAAGGTGGCTGTAGACGCCCCTCCCCCTTTGCGGAGATCCCCGCGCTGGCCCCGGATCGCGGGAGATCTGGAGGTAAAACCTCGGAGAGCTGTTCCTGCCGCGCCGGACCCGGCTCGGTCCGTCGGAACCGGCCTCCCGCACCGCAGCCTGCAGGGAGAGGGGCTGGAGACGTTGTTGGAGGGCTGCGGTGTGTGGTGGTTGGCGATCATTAAGACCCCCTGCAAAGATTCCTCCCTTGTGGGCATTTCCTTACCGGACAGGTGCTGCGCGGCCCCCGGCTGTGCGCTGCGCTGCGGAGCGGTGGGCCGGCCGCCAGGGTCCCCGCCGACCTGGGCGTGGGAGCCAGGTGGGGACAGGCCAGGCTGCGGGAACCGAGAACCCCAGGCCCGGGCCGAACACAGGGCCCTCACCGCGGGTGGGGCATCGGGTCCGTGGCTCCATGTCTGGGTCTAGGGTGGCCCTATGACTGAATTGTGTGCACTCAAAATTCCTATGTTGGAACCCTAACCCCCAATGTGACTGTTTGGAGATAAGACCGTTAGAAGATAGATAATTGAGCTTAAATGAGGTCATAACGGTGGGCCCCTAATCCAATTGGGTTGGCGGCCTTCTAAAAAGAGAAAACTCACTTTTAAATGTTCTAGTAAAATTAAATGTTGGTAGATTAGAGGAATAGGTGAAACACTGCCAGTGGCAAAACAGAAGTTATAGCTGGGTGGTGGGCACACAGAAGTTCATCATCGTACCTTTCTACTCTCTCTGTGTTTGAAATTTTCCATAACACAACATTAGGAAAAGAAGGGAACCCTGGCTGGTTTGGCTCAGTGGTTGGCCTGAGGACCAAAGGTTCTCGGGTTTGATTCTCAGCCTTGGTCAGGGTTGTAGGGGAGGCAACCAACTGATGTCTCTCTCACATCAATGTTTCTCTCTCTCCCTCTCTCCCTTACTTCCACTCTATCTAAGAGTCAAGGGGAAAATACCCTCAGGTGAGGATTAACAAAAAAAATTTTTTATTTAAAAAAGAAAGGAAGGAGAAAGGAGAAGAAAGGAAAGGAGGGGAAGAATGAGGTGTCCCGTTAGATTACCATTAGCCATTATACGTGTGTGTAATGTATTTTCTTCTCTTTCTTGCTATGCTTTTTTAGAAAAAAAAAAAAAGGAAGAAGGAAGGAGGAAAGGAGAAGAAAAGAGGGAGGGAGAGGCAGAGAGAGAAAGACAAAGAAAGAGAAGTCTGATAGTATTGTCTTTTTGATCCCTGGTGAGATGGGACAATTTGGCAAATGATCTTTCTCTCCTCTTCAGTTGTAAAATGTTTCCCAGTCTGTATGTTCCCTTCTCCTTACTTGAACGGTCTTTAGGAAATCTGTTTCCTCCATAATTCCTTCTAAGGTGTACGTCTCTGAACAGAAGTTGACTAACCCTCAGTGCCAGTTAATAAGTCACATTTTTTTCAGTGTTACGTCATGTAGACCAGCGGACAATGTTAAAGTATAGATATTTCCAAAAATGATTTCACTGAGCTGAAAACAGTAATAACAGCAAGAGCTGCTCTTTATCGATCACTGATTGGTTGCACACCAGGCTCTGTGGCCCCTCACACGTATTATCACATCCTCACGGGGCTGGACTCAGAGTCACCCTCTCGAGTTCTAAGTCTGAGGTGTCCGGGAGGTCACAGCCTTCATCGCCGGCTCACAACGGGTGTGACTGGCTGTGCTTGAGTCAGCAAAGAGGTCGAGATATGCGCCGGGTGGAGAGACCGGGAGGCCAGCTGTAACCTGGCCCCTGGGGCAGAGAAGGACAGCCCAGAAGCAGGAGGGGAGCCCAGAGAGAAGTCCACTCAGGAGGGGAACATACGCTCAAACCCCAGTGCGCTGCCTTCCCGGCACTTGCTGCTCCCTCCCCACGGTGCCCACAACACGTGCCAGCCATGCGGGCACAGCTCACGTTGTCTGACTCATGCCTGCCATAGCCATTGAGCTAAAACAGTGCTCACCCTCTTTTTTAAATCCTCACCCCAGAATATTTTTCCATTTATTTTCAGACAGAGAGGTGAGGGGAAGAGAGAAACATCTGTGTGAAGGAGACATATCATCAGTGGTTGCTTCCTGCATGGCCCTGACCAGGGCCAGGAACTGAACTGCAGCGGAGGTACGTGCCCTTGACCAGAATCACACCTGAGACTCTGGTCCGCTGGCCCACGCTCTAACTGCTGAGCCACACTGGCCAGGGCTCACTCACCCCATTTTATAGCTGGTCTGGCCAAATGCCAAGGATTGGAAACTCGGCTTCTTCGTTCCATGAAATCTCACTTTCTTCAACTTCCTCACCTGTAAATTGAAGAGAATTACACCCATCTCATAAGGCACAAATAAGGATGTAGATAAATGCACTGAAAACTTTGGTTAAGGTTAATAAAGTGTTCCTTTCAATGAGTTACATAAAACAGACTGACACCCCTGTCTGCACTTGCCAGCCGCTTGGCCACCCAGAGCACAGAGCTTCTGAGTGGGTGCTTCTGAGTGGTGGGGGTGCGAGGGCCGAGAGGGAGGGGCTGTCCTGGGGCTGATGACCAGGCTGCAGATCCTGCTGACAGCCCTTAGACATGCATGGCCTTCAGAGCTGACAGAACAAAACCACAGACGGCATCTCCCTGATTCTTCTTTCATCTCTGTGACACAGGAATTCTTGCCCCCATTTCACAAAGGAGTAAGTAACTAAGGCTGAGTGGGGATGCAAACCCAGGCTTGTACCTCTGCCTCCCACTGTAGGCCACTCACATGAGAACACGTGAACCGCAGGTTCCTTGGATTACCAGGTGCGGTGGAGAGTCACTAGTCTGGAGCAAACTGAGTGCAAGTCTGCATTGTCACCTCCACCTGGAAGTCGGGCAGATGCCAGGAGAAACTCACAGCTGGGTGCAGGGGAGGGGGTGTTGGGGGATCAGAGTGTGCATAAGTGAACTATTTCAAGAATGTTTTGACCAAGCAACATGCCAGAGTGTGTATGTTAATTCCAAAGCTTTAAAAAATGTATCTGCATTCTACTTTGTGAAGTACCCTGAGAGAGAAACCATGGAGACTGGTGGAATGGAGGTGGCCAGGGGCTGGGTAGGGGGGACGAGATGATGGAAACGTCTGGAAATGGGTGGTGTGATGTTTGTACTACAATGTGAATGTGCTTAAAGCCACTGAACTATAGATTACAAATTGGTTGAAATAATAAATTTTGTTATGTGTATATTTTAGTAATTATATTTATGCACACACACATGCAAAAGGAACCTTCTCTAAGTATAACATAAAACCTAGAAATTATATTTAAAAATGAATACACTGCCTACGTAATAATGAAAGTTTCTGCAGGGAAAACACCACCATAAACCAATCCAAAGGAAAAGAACAGTCCGCACCAATGCCGGCAGCGCCGGATCCCTGCGCACCGAGAAGGCCCGACCGCGCAGGGGAAAAATTAGTTGAAGTTCGGTCATTAGCTTATTTATCAGATATTTGTTGAATACTTCTCGCAAATCTAAGTGCCAGGAATAAAGCAACCATAAAAATAACACAAGGAGATTCCATACCAGCGGGGGAGAATAATAATGAACTAAATACGGAAAGTAGATGACCTGGTGGGCAGTGCTGATTGGAGAGAAGCAAAGCAGGCGCGGAGGTTGCACAGGGGCCTCAGAGCAGGTCTCACCGGGAAGGTGACATTCAAGCAAAGCCCCAAAGAGGAGCGCTGCTGGGTGGGCCCAAGACCAGACGAAGACCCTTAGCAGCGGCCCGGGAGGCTGGGAAGCGGAACAAGGTCAAAAGAGTCACCTGGTTACAGGAACCTGCGAGGGCGAAGGTCGCAGAAAAGTGGGCTGAGCCTTCGGCGAGAGTCTGCGGGACCGGAGCAGTGGTTGGCTGGGCGTGGAGGGCAGCGGTGGGACTCCCCAGATGGACCGGGGCCCCAGCGAAAGGCCTCGGAAGCACCGATGGCTTGTGCAAACTGGACAGTGAGCTGCATTTCATTTCGTCGGAGTGGATAACAGCCAAAGTGGGTTTGGTTTTGGAAATGTTACATTGGAAATGTGTCGAGCACCTCCAAGGGCAGGTCTGTGCAGGCAGCTGGCTACCGGGGAGAGGGCAGGGCAGGAGTCAGGCTTGCTGAGGGGAGCTGGGCAGTCAGCAGCCCACGGGTCAGGTATCGGAACCAGGAGACCCCGCATGGCCAAGGCAGGAAGCGGTCCAAGGCCTGACATCGGTGCAGGCCAAGGTTGAGAAGCAGGGACATGGGAGGAGCTGCCAGGGGCGAGGAAAACCGGGCTGTTCTGGAAAGCAGAGGAAGAGAGGTCAGGGAGGAGGGAGCCCGCAGCAGTGAGCCCGCAGCAGTGAGCCCTCACATACGTCCGGCCAGGAAGCTGAGGGCTCAGAACTTACCTCTGGGTGTAGCAACAAGGTTGCCAGTGACCTGCAGGAGCCTGGGGGCCGCTGGGGGAGGGGAGAGGGCATCAAGGGAGAGTGAGTCAGAAGAAACAAAAACATTGAGCAGGGGTCATTGTTGAGAGGCCATGCAGTAAAGGGCGCAGGAAAATGGCCAAAGATGTGGAGAGTTCACAGAAAAGAAATACACGTGGCTGCTGAACTTATGGGAAAATGCCGAACTTCACAATGAAATACGTGTGCGTGTAGACAGAACAGTGTCCACTGCAGCCACCACCTTGGGAGATGAACAGGTTGGCATCGCACTGCCGGGAGGGCAGAGGAGCCAAGCCCTCCACTGCCCTGAGCACGCAGTCCGGAGAGCCCTGTGGGCGCTGGGAAGGCAGCCCCACTGGCCCAGGGGTTCCGGGCCTGGGAACTGACCTGCTGGCAGAGGTGCAGGTGTGATGACTCGTACAGGCACACTGCGGCGTTGCTGCGTGCGACAGCCTGACCTGCTGGCAGAGACGTGGCGTGATGACTCGTGCAGGCACACTGCGGCGTTGCTATATGTGACAGCCAAGTCCTGA